GTAGAGCCAGACTGTTTTTGTGTGTGCTTTTCTGTTGTTTTTGACTTTTTGGTATTGATCCCTCTGCATTAGGGGTGGAACGATTCACAAAATCCACGGTTCGGTTCGATTCACGGTTTCTGGTCACGGTTTTCGGTTCGGTTCGATACATGTTGATTGTTACAACGAAATCCCATAAAAATTTATGGAATTAATGAAAAAATCCCCCCAAAAATAATGGATTGTAATTATTATAAATGATCCGTGGAAACCCTGGATCATTTCCGTATGTTTTGCTGCTTTGAATTTAATCATCTCGCGCATGCTCTCTACTATCTCCAAGGGACTCAGAGGGGAGCGGACGAAGCCACAGTGGGCGCTGTAGGCTTTGCTCTGAGCAGCCGGTCTGGACCGCAGCGGGGCGGAGCGGGGGTTGCTGACGGAGTATGTGGGATTTCGGGGTTAGCATGACATGTTGGTCATGTTGCTGTTAGCGTAAACAAAACGTGTTGCACAATGCTCGCACACTGTTGCACTTTTATCCACAACTTTCTTTCCGCCGTCATCGTAGGTCACTCTAAATGCAAAGCGGTCCCATACAGCAGACCTATAAAGTGCTGCTGGCGCGTCTTCCAACTCCTGTTCTTTCCCACTCGCCATTCCGACAACAACTGATTTTTTTCCCCTGCTACACCCGGCTAAGCTGCTTCGCTTCTTCTTCTTCTTGTTTACTACTGGTGGTTGGCTTTGGTCGCAGTACCGCCACCTTCTGCTCTGGAGTGTAAACGCTTCGCCTATGAGAAAAAGGAGCAGCGCATGAACCGAACGAAACACACGCGAACCGAACCGAGACAGTCGAACCGAACGGTTCTGACGGTTTTCATAAATCGTCCCATCCCTACTCTGCATATATAATAAAGTGGCTAATTTCAGACACTATTAACACAAAGCTATAACAGCCTTTTCTCTTGTTTTACCTATTTTGAAGGGTGAATAGCCCTTTATATCTTGTCAAATATGCTCTCATGGAAGTGGGGAGTTGATAGAAGGTTTAGGGGGCCAGTGTGGTTTGTTAAAAGACAACTTTTCTTGTTTTTGATACTTTGCCCCTGAAACTGCATAAATATACTCAAATGAAGTTGGAAATAGATATTAGGTTGTTGCAAAAAAAGATAAGTAGAATTTAATTTTAGGGTTTTCTACAAATTCTTATCCACTAAGCCAGTAAAAGTGGATAAAGATAATTTCAGATTCCGTTTTAGAATGAGCCTTCACAATCCCGGGGTGATTTAAATCAGTTTCTAGTCAGTTATTTCAAAATAAAGTAAAAAAAAAAAGGAAAAATATTTTAAGAAATTCTATTACATCGTTGTAGTCCTTAATTTTTCCTGTTGTCACAGAAAATAGCTCAAAGATTTTGACAATTTTAGGATGAAACTGCGAAAGAAGAAACATTTTACCTTCTTTTCCCTTTGGTTAAACTGTTGTGTGTAGGGCATTTGATTAAATTTTTGCAGTTTACGAAAAAATGTCTGAAGACATCCAAATATCTGGGATCTTCCAGTTTGCCGCTCCTGTATTACCTGAAAGCACCTGTATGAAGTAGGACTCCCTGTAGGGGGCGACGAGTAATAATGATTTCACCCAATTAGTCCAGGCCCAGTTGCCAGACCGTCTCCAGTCCCACCTCGTTGAGGTGCGACACAGGAAAGCGTGCACATTGGTGCTTGTGAAACCGTTTGCTGCTCTCTTTTCTTCCTGAATGACCTGTGAGGTTTGAGCAGTTACTGGGCTGGCATCCCCCCGGCTGAAGTCTGCAGACCCCCTTCTTGTCACCCCATACACAGGTCCCCTCCATGCGCTCAAAACAGTCCCACACATTAGCCCTTCGGAAGTCTCAGGGCCTAAAAAAACCTCTGGGAAGTGTAATTACAGAGAAGTACACCTCCAGCTCCCCCCGTCTTCTTCAGCTCCTTCTCTCTCCCTCCGTCCGGTTGCCTGCTGCTCTGGAACCACGTTAAAAGGCTCTCTGGGGCTTAATTAGCAGGCTACTCAACAAGCTGTGCATTCTTGGCCTGGTTCGAACACATGGGAAGGTAAAGGCCTCTAAGTACAGAACCTTGCGGTTGTTACTGTATTTGCTCACCAGGGGGCAGCAGTGTGCCTCTGGTCTACGTTTTGGAATAAAGAGCAACCTACATCAATCACAAATTGAATACCAATGTACCAAAAAAAAACAAAACAAAAAAGATCAAAGTTTTGTGTTAAGCGATAAAAAAAAAAAAAAAAGATTCAGGATGATATTTGGAAACTTAAAGCCAGTGACAGACATTGTCCTCTTCCAGCGTGTGGATCAGGAGCTTTTCAACATCCTGTCCTGTTAGGTGAGCGGAAGTTGTAAATTTGGTCAACATTTACTACTGCTCGACGTCTCTGCACCTGGTTCACTAGTTTACCACCGTCCCCTCCTTCTCGCACACAGACATCACACTTTCTGCCCACTCCTCCAGGATCCTCAGTACTTTGGGCACATTTTATGATCAAACCATTATTTAAACAGTTATGTTGAATTTTCTTTAAGAATACGATCCAGGATGTACACTAGTAATACACTAGTAGTACACTAGAAAGTGGCTTTGCTGTTTATTGTGTCATGAGTTTTGGCGGCATTGTTTTGCTGTTAAATGTCCGTCGGCTGTAAACCAAAAAAACACTGACTGAAAATATCAGGCATTTCTGATAGAAATGGCAAAATGTTATAACTTCCAACATATCTGATAGTTGAAGAAACCTAAATATCTGTATTAAAAATAAAATATATATGTGTTGTCTTTATATAATATTTTGTTCAAAGATTGTGTAGAAAAAAGTTTGTTGAGCTGAAAAAATGAGTTTTAATTAAAATGCCATTCATTTTGATCATTTAAATACCCTTTAATTAACTTAGATTAATTAATTATTAAAACATTTCAAAGTTTAATTGTGTCCCACCACTAGTTTTTCTTGTTGGCCTCAATTTGGTGCTAGATAGTAGCGGAAGGTTTCTTTCCCTTCCTGTTTTGCCTTTTGTGCAACATTTGACAGTATAAAAAGTGCCTTTTATATCAAACCTGATTTATTTTCAGACATGCAAATTGAGAGCGTAAAAAAAAACGAAACAAGGCAAATTGAACTTAAACCTCTTTGAAATAAGAGTTTTTCTAAAGTAGGTCTGACTGATGTAACAGAACTGTGGCTGGCAGCTTTTCTTTCTGTCTGGAACATCTCAGGACTCGACCCTCTCAGACATGTCTAACCTGCTCATAGGGTAAGATTATTGATGTTCAGCTATAAAATACTTTCAGAGACCACCTCTGTGGACCACCTCCTTTCTATGTGTGTGCAATCTTGTTTGTGTTCACAAATCTATAGGCTGATTCTTTGGTCTTTCCTGGCCTAAGTCCTTCGCTGTAGGGAGTCTGTGGTTTGCTGTTGTGCAGCGTAAACAGCAGAAGGAGCATGCGTCTTATTTTTTTATTTTTTTATACCCACTTTATTTGTTTGCTGGTCCTCCTTGGTGTTCTTCTGCATTGTGGGAAGTCTGTTTTTTTTTTTTTTAATTATGAGGTGTGAAAGCCTGAAAACCAAATGGGTGTGAAGGCCAGCGCACAGAGCAGCGGGCTTAACTTGAAGGAGCGTCCAGGCGTCCTCAGATTTCACTTGTGATACATCTGCAAGCCATTAGGTATGCAGCTAGAAACGCTCTTAAGGCGCCATGCACATGAATTCATCCCTCTTTTCATTTTGTAGCCTCAGAATAGATTTTTATGTAATAAATTGAAAGATAGAAAATGCAAACTTATAAAGTGGAAGGAAGATATGACTTTTTTTTATATCAACAAATTAAAAAATCTCAAAAGTGTGGCATGCATCAGTCGGAACCACCTTTCGCTGTAATTAAAGCTGCAAGGTTTTGAGGGTATGTAATTAACAACCTCCAACATTTTATCCAACCTTTATTTAACCAGGAAATTCCCACTGAGATTTGAGAAACTCTTTTTTTATTGAGAGTTCTTGTCAAAGGGCAGAAAGTTATGCCATAATGACAATAAAAAAACTTAAGATGCATTTAAAAAAAAAACAATGCTGAAAACTAAATGTTTTGCTATTCAGTCTGATTACCTGCAGAGCATTTTTGACGGTTTATTTTGAAGCCTCGGTAGGGATTATTTGATTCCATTTGATTCAAATCTGGACCATTCTACGCCAGAAATAGTCTTCAATCTTAGTCATTAAGCTGCTTCAAGTCGGACCTCTGCACCACTCTCAGTATTTATCTCTACCTCTTCACTCATCTGCATGATGCTTCCACCACTATGCTTAAGCTTTTGTTTACTAATAATATGATTAGATTATTTTAGGTGTATTAGAATGAAAATAACTGTCATTTGTTTGGGAATAAAACCTGCATGAAATATTCCTTTTGGAGTGTTGGTCTCTAAAACATTCACTCTAAAACGTTTAGTAGTGTCCTTAGCATGACAAATGATGTAAATACAGCTTCTTCTTAAACTGTTCTTAGACTGAACACTTGATGGCACTGGTAGCTCACGGTTGCTGTGTTTTCCTGCTCGCCCGCTCCCGTTTTCCAACCATCAGGAGGCTGGACTTTGAAGTTAACAGTACCAGCCTCAGGCACAGGAAGTTACCTACTGTTGTGTTACTGACTTAGCAAGTCAGTTAGAAAAAATGCCTGAGCACGCCTGTTGACTAACACACCGCACATTCATCACTGACTCCAACCGGTTGCTTTGTCTTTCCTCTTTGTCATATCTTGGCAGACAGAGTGCTGCAGGGTTGGAAAGGCCTTGCTTTTCGATCTGATTTGGCTTAATTTGAGTTTTCATTCACTTTTCGTGAAAGTAGGTGGAAAAGAGCTACAAGGCATGTCTTGTAGGGAGAATCATTATATATGAAACAGCTACGCTCTCCCTCCATAAGCAAAAGAAGTGATTAACCCCATCTGTCTGTTTCTCCCTCAGACACGGATCCGAGGGTTCTGGAGAAGCAGGAGCAACAGCAGCCCACATACCTCGCCCTAAGCTACATCAACAGGTATGCAAAGTCACCAAAAGGTGTAGAAGTGTGCAGCTAAAGAGGGCAGCATTGCTCCACTCCTATAAATCTGCATTCATGCGCGAGCTCAAGTGACTTTAGGATTTCAGATGAGTTATGTCTTCCCATAGCTATGACTCACCCACAAGAAAAAAAAAAACATAAACGGTGCAGAAAAACCACACATGATAATCACCCTTGGCTCTCTGAGCTGCCAGAGGCAGCATATCGGCCAGTTGTGCCGAGCATTTGTGTGTTTTTCGCTTTGCGGTAAACCAGTGTCGCATCTCACTTAATGCCCCATCAAATTACTACAAGAAGCAACACTGAAGCAGGTTGTGATAAGTTTGTTTTTAGGGATGATTGCTCTGGCGGTGAGGTCGTAAATGTCATCTTTATTTATTGTCCGTGGTGTCAGGGAGGTTTATTAAGTGGCTGGGTGGTGTTTTATCGAGAAACGTGTGGTTGTCTACGAAAAAAGGGAGAGGGGATGAAGGCGTCTGAGCTTGTGCAGCTGTAATAGATTAAAATAATTAAATTAAACAAAAGGAATATGAAGCAATTCGTTATAAGCCAACATTTGGTGGGACTCATTTTAGATTAACACCTTTTTTATTAGGAGAGAGAAATTTTATAAACCACTCAGATATTTAATTTAATTTTTTTTTTACCAGAAATCTGACAATGTATATATTAGACTAGACAAAAGAGAGAGTATGACATTCAGCAGATAACAGAAAGGCTAAACCAAGTAAAAAATCAGGGCTCAGGGTTAATAATGTTGGCCTTCAGAATGTATTAAACATCTCAGACTTTTGATAAAGAACTACATGCTTTAAACTCTACTAATGGAGGCTGACGCTCTACCCATGCTTTTGCTAATAAAGCACTCAAAAAGGAGGCAACAGGGCACATTTTTCATCATAGTTAAAAAGAAAAACATATTTGTATATGTAAAAGTTTTATTATTTATGGTTTTTAATGCCTTTTTTTATAGGATAAGGTTGTATTGTAGAATATATATATATATATATATATATATATATATATATATATATATATATATATATATATATATATATATTTATTAGCTGAAAAATCTAATCTTTCTTTTTTTTTTACCAATAATCTTTCTTTTTTTTTTACCAATTCAGATGAATCTATTTTTGCTTCACTTAGGTTTCATACTAAAATGGCAAATAACATACCTTACTGTGACAACCAAGCTTTTAGTTCAATCATTTCATCTGGCAGGCGACCTTAATTTAAAGGGAAACCACATTTAAGCTCTAAATATTCTTGTAAAACTGTTTCTTTCAACAAGTGATGGAAATTTAAAAAGTAAATGTTTGCTGTTAGTAGTTTTACACGGTCTGCTGGTTTATTTGTTATGATCATACATCTAAGAACAAAAGTGATGAACTGCTCTCACTCGGCTAGGGGGCCCCAAAGAAGTGCATCGATGGGGAAAAAAACAATGTTTTCCAAAATATTAAATCTTCATAAACAGAAAATTGATCGACTATTTTTTTTTTTTCAATTCAGTTTTACCGGTAATTTAATCTTATTGCAATTGGAGAAAATACAAAAATGTGACATTAAAAGTTTGAAATATAAACAAAGCTAGAATATTCTAAGATCTGCTGCTATATTGTAACATAATAACATAAAAGAGGAAACTTTTGTGAAATATTTAGTTCTGATCAATGCAGTTTTTTTTATTTTATTTTTTTATCAGACCGTACTTATTGTCTCCAGATTGTTCAGTTATCATTACACAGGGTTTCCGCGGGTCATTAAAAATCATTAAAAGTCATTAAATAATTTTTTTTTTTTAAGTAAGGCCCTAATTGGCATTAAAATTCATTAAATGTGATTATTTCTGCATAAAAAATGCTGTATTTAAATAAGAAAAATGTTTATAAAAACAATTTCTTAAATGATATATATTTGCAAATATGCAAATATATCGCAATATATTTGCGCGGAACCGCAGAAATTTTTCCGGCTGATCGTCAAGCCGTATGTTCGGAAAAGAGGCTCAAGTTGGAGAAAAAGCTGTAGAATGGGGAAAATGCTCATTTCAAAAAAAGCGGCTGGAAATCGAGGAACTTTAGCCTGCCGACAGTAAAGATGAAGAAGGAATTTGCTGTGTATATATGAGAGTCATGGGTACTTGTTGCATTAAAATAATTTTTAAGAGCATTAAAAGAGCATTAAATTAGAGTTGCTAATTCCTGTATAAACCCTGTTACAATCAACTGATCTTTACCTGATAATATATATCAGGCATTATAGAGCCTCCACTATGCTTAGCAGAAGGGATGATGTGCTTTTTCCACATGTTTATCCTTTTAGTGTTTATCCTCTTCACCTTCAGTTTTTTTTTAACTAAAATATCTTTTGGAGAGTTTGATTTGACCAGAGCACACCTCATGACATGTCAAAATAAAACCCACTGACACCTGGATCAACCTAAAGAATATAGCCAACAGAAATCATTTGGATCGATTTATTCTGTGGGAACCGTTATAGGTGTGATGGTTTAGTATTTCAGTTAAAAATATTATTGTTTCCTTTAATTTGAGTTTTTTTGTGCCCCTCTTAAGTAAAAAAGTAAATATAAACCTTTTTAGAAAACCTACAAAATAAAAGCTTTGATCTGTCAGAAATTGCACAACGCCTCAACTTAAAACCCGTCGCCTCCAGCTGAGGGTAAGCATATCTTTAGTGTCTTTAAGAGATGATCAGGAACAGATAACATCAGTTTTACAACATAACGATAAACTCATACCATAATTCATCATTGATTTACTTGAACTGGTGTTATTCCTGTCTTCAACACACCCAGATGTATCGGTGCAGCAGTACATTAACCTGGCTGACATCTTACCCGTTGTGAAACTGCTGCAGCCTTTTGGATAAAAGATAATGAGGTCATGGATCTGTGTTTGTTATGCTGTTTGTTTTATTTTTTTACACAGGTCACAAAAGTAAGTCAAGGTGTTTTGTCAAGATTTCAAACCAAGATATGTTAGAGTATAGTTATAAATTAAAAGGAGGTCCAAATTAGATTATTTTGACACCTTTAAAAAAAATAGTTCAAATTACTATTTCTTAACACCTTAAACACACAATCTCTACAGTTATGTCATGCTGTGGGGATGCTTTTCTTTATTTGGACTAGAGAGGATGGCCAAATCTGATGGGAAGGTTTATAGAGTTAAATTATTGGCAGTCTTGGAAGAGATCCTGAAAATCTTCCAGCAGGAAGGCTACCCTAAACATGAAGCACAGATCAGAGCAGATTTATGCTCTAGAATGGACTAGTCAAAGTCCAGAGCTAAATCCAATTAAAACTGTGACAGGATGTAAAAAAAAATAAAAAATTTTACAGAAGGGAATTGTGAGCTATGTTGCAAAGAGGAAAGTGGGATAGGCAAACCCCAAAATGAATTAAATTCATCACCTGGAAATCTGACTTTTTCCGGGTAAAGCATGCATCTTAGTGTTGGGCTTCAATTAAAAACCTGCTGGGTGAGAGTGGCTTCAAAAGCTCCACAGAGAGCGCAGCTTCCCTCTCTGTTCCACCTAAAGAGGTGATTCCATCAAAGCTGTAAAATTCTGGTGCAAACCCTCGCAAGAAAAAAAGAAAACAGACATGAAAAAAAGAGTAAAAATGAACTCTATTACATTTTGTTTCTCCTAAAATGATTAACGTGAGTTTAAAGTCGGTTTCAAATGGACTGTACCTACAAGATACCAGGTTATGACTCCTTTAAAGGTATAGAGGACGATCATTTATTTCCGGGTGGATCATCTAAATAAGTGGTCCTCCTAGTTTTCAATCATTCTGGTGATTTGTTTACCAGAGGCTGTCCTACGTGCTTGTTCCCAGTTAGCTACCTGTCCATACACACTTTCAGGGGTATATGTGTGGTGAGCTATGGTTTCAGACAGTCATTGAAGCTCACCTTTCTCACCACGGTTCTTTGAAAATGGCCGAGGGTCGTAAGGGAAAAAGTGTCTACGAAGTGTATGGGGAGAAAAGAAAGGCCTCAGAAGAGGCAGATATTTGCTGTCATAGTCACCATAGGCTGTGGCTACCCGACAGTGGCGACTAATAACAAAGATGGCGCAGGCACCCGCAGTGGAGGAGGAGTTACATGACCAACGAAGCAAAAAGTAGTGATCATCTGTCTGAACGGTCATTTAACTGAGTTTGCTATCAAGTCTACTATATAGTCCCCGCTCTATATAGTGATTGAGGGATTTAGGCGTTAGGGCGGACCTTTGCTAGCCTGGGTGCCATTCCGAACTTAGTCCCGCCCACAACGTTTGAGGTCAGGAAGTTCGGTCTGGCATTGCTCAGTAGTAGCACGAGTATGCTCGCACAATATCTGGCGGGCCAATCAAATTGTCAGGGCGGGCTTTATACGATGATGGACAGTTGATCAACAGTAACGTAATCAACCACGTGACCAAAGCGCGCATGGGGGACAACAACAATGGTGTTGAGGTGTGTATCGACAGCAAATTAATTTTAAAAGAGGAACAGAGAAACGCGATCAAGGCTCATCTTCTTATTCTAGGCGTGCAACTGCACGCTTTGATTTTTGGTCAACAACAACAACTATGCGTCGCTTAACATACGTCACGCACTCCGTTGCTCTTATTGGTTGTAGGTCTATCCAATTGAGTGCAGAGGCATTTTTTTTCCTAGTTCGTTCGAAACACGCCCCATAATCACAGCTCTATGGAGCAGTATCAGACTCATATTCTAACTAGAATTGAGTAGAACTACGTCAGGCTAGACCTTGGCACACAGTAAGCTTGTATGAGCTAAGAGAACGGCAACTTTTTAACAGAGTGGGCTTGGGCTCGCTCTCGCATGTGGAGAGAGCAAGTCTTTTAAAAAATTTGTCAAAATCCTCCACTATACCTTTAATGATTCCATACTCAATTGGAATATATATATATAATGATGAAATGTTGCCTTATTAGTATTTTTCTTTTATAAATTTGCCATTTCTATGACATTGGTGTATCATACCACCTCTGGCAAGTCGGCTCTTCTTTAGGCAGCCTAAAAAAAGACTAAGAACTATTTTCAGGTCTTAGAAATAAGCTACAGTTACGTTATAATTCAGAGGCCATAGCAGCTAGTGGAAATGTATATATGGGTTCATTTTTTACCGTTTCTTTAGTTACCTTTAGATCAAGTCACACATATGGCCATGTTCAAGATTCATTCATTAAACACTAGTTTTGGATCGGAACCCGCCGTTCCTCTCAGTTTTGATATCTTAAAGATCTGTGTATTTCTAATTAACTCTGTCCTACTAGACCTGTTGGAGCCTCTCGTTCTTCCAGGACAGGGAGGGGCTGCTGCTCACAGAACAGAATTAATGGGGATTACTCAGGCATGCATGAATCAGGCAGAATACCTCTAGGCATAATTTTGATGAAGGAACAGCATTACAGTATAGTTAAAAGCTCAGAAAGTTGATTTAGCTTTTTATTTAGACCCTTTATTGACTATACCAATAGTTACAGCTGAGCTGAATGTAAATGTTTTTATCTAGGATGGAGGTCTTTCCTGCTGATTCACTCTATGTGGTGTTGATCTATGATGTGAAACCCTAATGAAATTCATCATAGTGTTTGATTCTAAATATATTTGTGGCCTCCTGCAGTAGTTTGGTAATTTAGAGGTTGTACTTTTTTTTTTTTTTTTAGGATTCATTGTTTTTCAGGTATTTTATAACCAGCGGCTCTCCTTGCGTGTCCCCAGGTTCATGACGGACGCAGCACGCCGCGAGCAGGAAACCCTGAAGAAGAAGGCCACGCCCAAGCTGTCCCTTTCAATCACCGGCGGCATTTCCAGGAACAGCACGGCCACGCCGCCACGCCACACCAGCGGCAACCTGACGCCTCCCGTCACGCCCCCCATCACCCCGTCCTCCTCATTCCGCAGCAGCACACCTACAGGTAGGGGAGCGTTCTCTGGAGAGAAACGACAAACCAGTTGCTTGTAAATGACATTGGGAAGTTAAGTGTCGTACTGACAGGGATTCCTGCAAACTGGCCCCTCGGGGCGTAACACACATCTGATAACAGCAATAATTGGATTACATTCAGAAAGCACAGAGTTGATATTTTTACAACGCGGTGTAAACAAATGATTGGATGGAGTGAAGTACCAGCACAGGGTTCTGTTTAGTATCCATCTTCAACCGAAGGGAAAATCTGTCGTCATCCGCTGCAGTGTGTGTTTGCTTTAGCAGCTCCTGCAGCGAGCAAACCAGTCAACACTTCGCTAATTACACAGCAGCTGCCCCGCTCTGCGTTCGCATGGGGCTGAGCGCCGCACAGGCCAGGAGCAGATGTCTAATTCCAGCCCGAGCCGGTCCAGAAGCGCACACAAACCCACAGCCTCTTTCAACATGTGCCAAGGTGCCATCCACTTCCTCAGGTCGCAGCGCAGCATTTCCTGTTGCATGGCGGGGGGTCACTGGCTCTGGATGTTTGTGTTTCTGAACCGTTCAGGTATTTGGATGCATCTGGATGTGTGTGTGTGAGAGAGTGTGAATGGAATGTCGTGCATCAAGAAAAGCACCCCCCCCCCTTTCCCACCACCAAGCAGAGCAGTGGGTATCCCTCCCACTTAATGATCCCTTTTTCTGGGGCGTTTGACTAACAAGCTCTCACACCCAGACGCCATATTTGGTTTTCCAACTTGAGGAAAAGTAACTTTAGAAAACACCAAACGGCGTTCCTATAAAGTAACCACAAGCATTCAGATGCATTTGTTTTATTTTTACTCAACCATTGAGTTCATTGTATGTTGTAAGAAAAAAAATCTGAAAAGTGTGGCATTCCTATTTTGCAGCTTCTCCTAAATCAGCTCTTGTTTTGAGGACAGGAGAGTGAAATTGGTGCTCGCTGCTTTTTACCAAAACATGAGTTTTCACACCTTACTAGAAATGCCCAACTGGATCTGAGCCTAGACTTGGACTAGACCATTCTAACTCATTAATATGCTTTTTTTTTTTTCTTAATTTATTACCATGTTTTGGTCTCAGATGCAGACCACAATTCAGACATGATCTATAAATACCTAAAATATTTCTTAAAATAGTTGTTTATCGTTAATCTGAGCAGGTAAATTAGATTATTTTCCAATGGAATTGGTATTTTTGCTCTTAAAATAACATAATTAGATAGTATGCACTTGAAATAAGATACTGCAGTGGCTCACGTTCCAGTCTTTCTTCAATCTGTTTTTTTTAAAGCAGAGATTTACCTCCCAGCAGGAGAAAAGCTCTAAACTTATGAGCAGAGCTGCAACAGTTTAGGTTAAACATGTGAAAACTGTGGCAAAATCCACCCGCATGATCCATTTTTTATGGGCTGCAGTCCCATCCATAGTCTGTAATGCTTTTCTCGTCCCCGGTGGCTCCAGGCAGCGAGTATGACGAGGAGGAGGTAGACTACGAGGAGTCAGACAGCGACGAGTCGTGGACCACAGAAAGCGCCATCAGCTCCGAGTCCATCCTGAGCTCCATGTGCATGAACGGTGGCGAGGAGAAGCCGTTCGCCTGCCCCGTCCCGGGATGTAAGAAGAGATACAAGGTAAGGCTGGATTAATGAGCAGGCCTCCTCAGCCGTGCTCTGTGAGGTGTTCTGCTGCGATTCAATCTACAGTGCAGCTTTTGTGTGCGTATCACATGTCTGGACCGATTGCTTGGAAGGATCTGGAACTTCAGAAAGCCCTGGAAGCAGTGATAAATATATCATGATGCATTTGCTTTGGCTGATGTTTAATGCAGCTTGTAACAGGAACCTCATTCAGCTCGCTGTCCCAGCATCTAAATGAATAGACAGTGTTTGATATTTCTCTTTGTGGACCTTTTAGTGGAACAAACGGTCCTCCTGTGCTAATAAATGCTATTAAACTGAAAGGTTTAGGTTTTATTGACTTAATCAAATACTTTTTGCGCAATAGTAATTAACGGGCAGTTAAGCTTCCTCAGACTGCAGCTGGGAAAGGATGTAATTATCTAGTTTAAACCTAAAACATTTTAGCATGGATTTGCATTCATCCCCCAAAAAAAAATCCAGACATTTTTTATCCTGCTGTGTGGAGAAATAATAAACTGCATGTTGTCCTCTGTGAAACATGGAGGCAGCATCATGATCTTACTCAGCAGCAGGGGAGCTAACAAGTTTATGGAAGGTGGATTTATAAATCCTGGAAGCAAACCAGCGATTGTGAAGCTGGGAGAAATTTGCTCCAATTAACTTGCAGGAAGCGACGCCTCTAATCTGCAAACCATAGAAGAGTTGATGAGTGAAACGACTGGGAGCTTAATGCAAAGCATTTCTGAAATCTGTACAAACTAGTGGTTCCTAACGAGGTCATACCCACAGCATGACGACGCCACTTCCGTGGGAATGGTAGGCTTGATGTGATGTACTTTTTTTTTTTTAGATGAAGGGGGAAAATGCAAATGCACATGCCTCTACAAATATCTATTAGAAGAGATTCCTGAACGTCGCAGCCACTTTTGTTTTTTTTTTGCTTTAAAAATATCCCCACTTGAATTTTCTGTGTTATTAAAAACTGTATTTTCCATACTATAAGGCGCACATGAATTGCTTATTTCAACATTTCTTTCATATATAAGGCGTGCAGCACTATAGCGCATAGAATAGAAGCTACAGTAGTGGCTGGGTTAACGTTACACACCCACTAAATGCAGCTGCGCTAAAGAGAATGTCAATAGAACAGTCAAAAAAATAATCCAAACTTTATTAATATATTATTTACAATATGACCAACCTTCTTCAGCTGTTAACAAACAAAAGAAACTTAAAATATATAATTTAATAGTTCCTTTCTCATCATTGAATCCCTGGAATTCTTCTTCTTCAGTGTCTGAACTGAACAGTTGGGTTAACATGGGATCCAACATGGCCGACTCCATCTCATCAATGTCTTTATTATTTGTTTCAATGTCTTTCCTGTTGTCTGACTGTTCAGTGACAATTCCTGCCTTCCTGAAACCTCAGACCACAGTTGAGACTGATTTATCAGCCCAGGCATTTACTACCCGCTGGCAGATAGTGGCGTATGTCGTTCGGCGCCATCTCCCCATCTTAATGAACCTGTGGTCACCTTCCTTCATCCACTGCTCTATCCATCCGTCTTTGTTACCTCGGAAACCTGTTTAGTCTTCTTTACTTGGCGTAGATCATCTTCTTGCTTCCTCCACTTCCACAACATTGATTCATTAATGTTTAATTCACGAGCTGCTGCTCTATTCCCATGTTTAACTGCATAACTGCTAACATTGAGTTGAAACTCTGCGTCGTACGCGTGTCTCTTGAAAGGAGCCATTATGGGGTCTTAACACACACAAATGGAAATGATACTTCCCAGTATGCACCTTGCGCTACTTCTTCAACTGGAGAAAATGGAGTCGGCTGTTGCTCCCCATAGTTGCAAGACCTTTTGAAGCTTAATCTTGATCCAAACATAGGGCGCACCAGATTATAAGGCACACTGTAGGTTTTTGAGAATATTGAAGGCTTTTAGGTGGCCCTTATATTATGGAAAATATGGTAATTTATTTTTGTTTGTATTAATGTATCCACATGCTCTTTAGTTATATATTTCTAAGTATTTCCAATAGATTTAGCTTTATATCGATAATAAAACAACTCCTTTCCTGCCTCCTCTTATATTCCACCAGAACGTGAACGGCATCAAATACCACGCCAAGAACGGCCACCGCACACAGATCCGTGTGAGGAAACCCTTCAAGTGTCGCTGCGGAAAGAGCTACAAAACGTCGCAGGGTCTGCGGCACCACACCATCAACTTCCACCCGCCCGTCTCAACCGAGATCCTCCGCAAGATTCAAGGCTAGAAGCTGCGGGCTCCAACCAGTCCGCTACCCCCAAAACATGAGCCCTGTCCCCGACCCTCCTTACATCCCAAACACTAAAGGATCAAGTGCATGCTTTAAATTTTTTTTTTCTATGTTTTGTCACTTTTCTTTTTTTTTTTGCATTACTCTTTTATCCTATCCACATATTATCACTTGTATTATTTTCTTTGAAAAACAAAAATGTATCTTTGTAGTATTTTTTTATTGACGTACATTTGCACATTCGTATATGCTATCATTTTATTATTATTATTATTATTATTTTTCAACTGTTTTACTTGCATAAGGTGCTAACTGTAAAAAACAACAGAAAGAAAAGACAAAAAAACAAAGGATGCGGGAAAAAGTGGAGACCTTTTGAAAAAAACAAAAGGGGTGATATAGGAAAGCGACTCCTGCCTTTTTCCCCCCCTCCCTCTTCCCGCTCGTCTCCGAGCAGGAAGGAGTCGACTCCCGACTCAGATCGGGGGAGTTTAAGAGCAGGAGTCGAGATAATAGTGAGAACAGATATATTGATTATATAAACAATTATGTACATAAAGAAATATAAAAGTATTCATGAGCATATTCATAAATAGTTACTTTATTTTCAAGCTTTATTTGATAGATCTATTTTTACCAGTGTTTTAGATGGAGGGGTTTTCTTTCTTTCTGATTGGCTGACAGCCCTGGTTAGGATAGCAAAAGCTTTTTAGCAGCAGCAGAATCTCTTATTGTTAAATTCAATTTTTTTTACCAAAGTTCATAGTAACAGATGCCCCAGTGTGAAGCGATGGTGAAAAAAGGAAAAACCGAACAGTTGGCATGTAGACGGCTAGTCCAGCAAGTTCACCCGTTAAAGGAAGTGCTTTGTTCTTTCAGCAGATCAGCTAAGATGCTCGTCACGTTTACATTGGAGGAAGATGAAGAACTGAGCAAATGTTCTTCATCCCTAAGCTAGCAGTGCCAATAATAGGTACCCTGATCTGAGTCCAGTTTAATCCAGTTAAAAGATTTACTTTGCTAAACTTTTGGGTTTGAGGCGATGCTGCTGCAGGAGAATCTGGATTCATTTCGAAGGCTTTTGACTCGTTTTATTAGTTGGTTTATGCTGGATTCTCTGACATTTATTTTTGTTGTGAAACAGCTGGCTGATATGAAGATTATGAGCCAGTACTTCTTTTTTTTCTTCCGTTCTTTCACATTCTGATCAGGAAGAGACCGTGACGGCTCCTATCAGCAGGTAGAGCCATCGTTCATAGTGCCAGAGCTGTGCTCCACTCGCTCGGCCTCCAGAGCAGGCCCAGCATCCTAATGTATTCCAGTTGCCAACTTATTTTTATTTTTTTCTTCATGTTGTTTCCATGATGGTTGCCAACAGCTCTCCACTGCCAAACATTGACCATACCATGTGCCTGATGAGGGGGGGGTGGGGTTGTGATGTTTTTTTTTTTGTTTTGTTTTTTTAACGCTGGAGGTCCGCGAACGTTGGGAGACGCTCTTCTCCTTCCTGGCGCCTCCAAAGCGTGCATGGATGAATGTCTTGGTGCATGCTTTCAGAAGAGGAGGATGCATTTGTATTTAAGAGATTATCATCTCCAACCTGTTGTGTGTGCGTGTTTTAGTGAGCAGCATTCCAGTTGGTTATGGCGCGCGTGTTTTTCAGCAGTATCTTCATCAGCATAGAGTATTACAGTACGTGTGTGTTTCATGTTTCTGCTGCCGGATCGACTCCTTACGGATCGGATTGTCCAGTTGTCTCTAACGGCCGGGATTTGATCTTCAGTTCCCGGGGTTTTGAGTCACGCATTCCTCTCATAAGACTTTTTATTCCACTGAAAGCTCAATACTTTGAGCCGCTTCTCTTCCCTCCAACATGCACTCCACTCCTCCTATTGCAGATTTTCTTGTTTTGTTTTTTATGGTCAAGCAACATGTTGCAGCTCCCACCTATGCGGAGAAACAGAAGTACTGCTGGGCGAGCGAGCACAGGAGGGTGAGGAGGAGCGGCAGCTGTGTGCAGGAGAGGACATGGGGTGGGTGGGGGGGAAGTATACCATGTACAGTGAATGTAATGTAACAAGTGTCTGTCGTCAAGTGCTTTTAAATTATATTTTCGTATGAATGAGACCAATGTTTCCCTTTTTGTATGGGAGGTTTCAACAGGTTCTGAGGAAAGGTGACGTAGATGATGTCAAACTGTTTCTATATGAAAATAAGCTGCTTCTATGTAAATGACTGAAAAAAAAAACACCCAGCAAAATAAAGTGTAAAACTTTATCTCTCCCCCCCCCACAGCTCAAACTGTCACTTCATGCCTCTTTCAATAAAACATCAGCAGTAATGTTCACTTAGACAAGCTTTATTTATTCATTCTTAAAGATCTTTTCAGGGAACCGGAACTTCCAGACATTCTCACATGAGATTAGCACAAAGATACGGCTGCACAGTGCCTTGCTAAAGGGTTCTCTTCCCTTGAACCTCTTCACATGACACCACAGAATGTAAATTTTGTTTTAGGGACTTTTTGTGATAGACCAACACAAAGTAGAGCGTATCTTCTGAAGTGATTGGCGTAAATTAGAGCTTTAACATCCCAACCAAGACTAACATGAGACCATAAAATGCAGAAAGTGTTATCGGCACAATTTCACACCTAAATTCATCCAATTCCCAGAATTTTCTATTTTAATTACTGCGTTTGTTGCCTTTAAAATTGTTAAAAACTATTTTTTTCTTTCACTTTTAAAATTAAATCCTTTTTTAGATCATTGCATAAAAATCCCCAAAAACGTGTTTGTGGAGAAGTTCAAGGTAAGTGAATTAGTTTTTTTTTTTTTTCTTTTTTCCAAGGCGTTATAGTTTGTGAAGCCTGGATGCAACATTGTTAAGAAACACAGCCGTGACAAGAAATCAGACAAGAAGCTCAGGACGAACATTTAAATGACCATCATGGGGGCCTGTAGACCTGCACACAAAGCAGCCACCTCTTCCCACTTATACGCTTTAAGAAAAATAAACGATTCAAGTTTTTTTTCCTTTCTCCTTCAACATCCGTCCCCCGTAGCCTCGTCTCTTATGATTGACCTGCAAGAAAGTGCACAGAAACAGGAAGTGAAACGTCCCCCGATCCGTCATTTTGTGGAAGATGAAAGGAGACAGCTTTAGGACAGAACCTCCTCAGTATCGTTCTTTATGTACAGTACATTCGAAATAAAGCCCGTTTTTAGTGCAGATCCATAGAAAAATGTAGTGCGTTTTTCTTCCAACTCTGACATCTTCGCAAACAAAATAGACAACAGAAAAAAATTGGAAACCTTCAGTCATGATTAAATCTCTGTGTTTAAACGTGTGAGAAATTAAAGTATAAGAAAACACTTCTGCAAGAAAAAATCAACAGGATAATCAAAAAACTGGAAGAATATAGAAAGAAAAATCTAACCTTCAGATTCAATTTAATTTGCAACTTTTGCCATGATTTTTAGAATTTTTCCGACATCTATATCAAGGTGGCAAAATGTGTAAAGCTTGTTTCAGGGTAAAAATGGAAAAGACACAAACAGAAACATGCACTTTAAAAAGGTGCCTCAAAAATACGCCTAAAAATAAAAGAAACTTTAAAAGCTGTGACTCACTCACTGTTCATTCAAATGTTTCTGTACAATCCAAACCTTCTGCTTTATCTGCTCTACATTCTTTGCAAAACAAACAAAAACAAAAGTGCTAAATATTGGGACTTAATAACGTCTTCATCCCGACGCAGCACAATTCAAGCTCTGGACTTTTCCGCTCATTCGATCTGCTCAAAGTTGAGCACGTTGCCATCGAAGTGCGTGAGGACGTGCCTCTCGAAGAGCTGCTGCTGGCAGTTGAGGGGGAACTGCTCGGAGCAGACGGGGCAAACCTTCCAGTGGCTCTCCACGTGCTGCTCGAAGCTGCGCTGCTCAAAGTGGGGCGGGAAGATCACCTCGCACAGCGGGCAGCGCTTGTGGACGTCTGAGCTGCAGCGGGAAGGAAAGGAAGAGAGGCGTTTAAGGCCTGGGCTGCAAAACGTAACGTAAAAATGCAACCAGGAAACAAATCAATTAAAATTCGCATTTATAAACACATTTCACCCAGAAAAGCTTCTAATTATGAGAGGAAGTTAATATTCAGTAGAACCGATACAAGTGATCCTTTTTTGACTTATTTTCTGTTTACAAACTTACATGCAAAGCTGTTAGATACTTTTTTGTAGAAATAAGAAAACAGCACAAAACAGCAGTAACAAAAAAAAACACAATTTTTCTAAGTAAATGTACCTTTAGTTCATCTTTCTTTAAATTATTTCTTTAGAGCGGAAAGTTGATGGCTTAAAAAGGTGGTATCGATATTGCAAAAAAATTAATTCCAATTAAATCTTATTGAAATAAGTGCATTTTTATTGCATTGAGCAGGTAAGTGAGACATTGCCGATAGATTGACCATTTACCTTTTAAATAAGAAAAAAAACGACTTGTCTCTTATTTTAAGAGCATAATATCCAATTATCTCATTTTAGGGGTCTATTAGTAGATCATCTTATTTACCTACTCCAATAAGGGGTATAAAAAACTTATTATAAGACATTTTAACTCATTTTTGCAGTGTACAACTTTTATATCCAAGTGATTATTTACCAAAAAAAAAAAGAATGAATCCATAGAACATTACGAGTGGTGCAGAATAATAGGATTAATTTTATTAACTGTTTTATAAAATTTGGCGGGTTCAAAATATAGAAATATTTGCTTCCTGTTAGAGAAACGGGTTCTTCCTATATATCAATTTCTCTGATTCAAACCAAACAACAAAGAGAAGCAAATCACGGCTGAACATCGGTCAAGTATGAAAGAAATGGGTTTCTGCGTGAACTGGGCGGAGCTTCTTCCAGTAGTTGCCTCTCCTCTATAAAAGACGCATGTTAGGATCAAACAATCACTTTGATCACCGTCTCTGGTGAGCATTAGTCATATATATTCCTATTTATTTAGCGCTGGACTTTCCATAAAGGTATCAGACAGAAAAGACGACTCGAAAACAAAAGCCTGCCACACTTTTCAGATGTATGACATGGCAGTAAGGGAATATATTAATGAATCTGTGTTTGTAGATAGAGGTGCTACCTGGAATCAAAGCAGAAGCTGCTCCTCACTTCACTGCGTCTGCTGGTCTGATGGTCGCATGGCTGTTGAGCTCGGTCACACATCTTAGAATAAAAAACAAAAAGTGAGGGGGAAGTTAGCTCACACATGTAAAAGGACCAACATACGGCTTCATTCCTTAAGAGTCAATAACCATGAGGGTAATCTGTCTTCCTTTCCTGCAGTAAAAAGTCTTTTTTTCCATTAATCTCTCTCCTAAGTCCTA